CCCCCCCCCCCCCCCCCCCCCCCCCCCCCCCCCCCCCCCCCCTTTCAAGAGGCCCACCCTTTACAGCGAGTCGTACCTACGACTCGCGAGTCCTCAACTGTTTGTTCATACTTCATGCCACAGCAATCCCTCCATACCAAGGACACGAAAAAACAAATAAGAATGCAACAAACAGTCAGGTCATCGCAAGAAAAGAAGGGAAAGCGAGAGACAGAGGTCATTCATTGCCCGAGTTTGCGACCAAAAGGAACCTTCAGAATTAACAAAAACGAGGCGAAGCAGAAATAATTCAAAGACAATTACGGGCAAACGGCAATAGCAAAAGATAAAAGAAGAAGCGGCGGCGGTATCACCAAGGAGTGCCCGGGGAGACAGGAAAGTCCTGAGGCCAAACGCAGAAAAAGAGGCGCCAAGAAATATCGAAGAGCCACTGCTCGCGGAAATTTGCGATGCAGTCTCTCCCGCCTCATCAGGCAAACATCCACTCCTTCCCGCAAACTTCTCCTCCTCCGTCTTCGCTTCTTCCTCCCACTCCTCTTCTACGAATCCAAATTCCACATAAATATCACCCACCACTTTCCTCGCGCACTGTAAAATCCTACTGCTACAACAACAAACAACAACAATTGTTCCGGCAAAATAAAAGCACGCCAGAACATCGAATTTAGGAAGCAGACCTTCTCCCGACTGCGCGTTCGTGATGACAAGATCGATCTCCGCCGCCGTTCCCAGTTTCTTGAATTCGATGATTCTTTCTTTCAGACTCGCGACAGAAATGAACGGTCCATCGATGTCAACAGAGTCGTAGTCACGAGCACTTTTGAACTTGAAATGCACAGCCATCTTGCCGCCAGGAAACGATAAACCAATAAGAACAAATAAAAAAAAAAAAAAAACACCCCCCCAACAAACAACACCCCCCTCCCGCCGCCAGGGACGAACCAAAAACCACCCCACGCGGGTGATCACTCGCCCTCTTCCTCCTCTCCCTCTCCCTACTATCGCTATTGACGGGCCCTTCCGCTGCTTTCGCACTCCACGTCTACTCTCCCTCTCCTTTTCCTGACGCCTCTCAACCTCACCTGTCAGCACCTTCTTCTGCCCTGTCCAACTTAAGATGCTCAGTCACCCGTCTCTGTCCAATTTCCGCCTACCGTAAACGACACGGTCACTGTCTCGGAGACAAATTTCTCTCGGGCTATGCCGCTCTGTCACTGGGTACGTCTCAACCAACATGAACGATGAATTTCGACCACCAGCATCAACCAACCCCCCCGCTTCACACGCGCGATGCCTTCGATAATAATCGAGCGTATATGAGACCGTCACGCGTGTGAGAAACGACCGGCGCAACTCCTCTCCCTTCTTTCTTCCACTCCCCAACCCCCTCCAACTCGTCGGCTCTTTACTCTCTCTTCAAGGCAATCGGACTAGGACACTGTCGTCTTACGTTGGCATTGCATAGATGGCCGTGTGGTTCTGATGAAGCCCTTGCTTCATATTGACGCTCATGGCACGTTCACGCCCTCTCTTCTGCTCACTCCCTCTGCTGCGGCGGAACAGCCTTCGCGACGAGCCGCTGAAACGTGTCGCTTGTAGATAACCTGCTAACCCATCATAAAGACAGAGGGGAAGAAGAGGAGAAGGCGGACAACTGAAAGAGAGAGAGAGGCTGTTGAGGAGGTCAGAAAGACTAAGGGCGGCGATGGCGAAAAGACATTGCAGACAAGGAACAAACGAAAACGATAAACCACTTCTGCTTCTCCTGTGTAACGCATAGGCACTGGCGGTCTCTCTGTGTGGCTGACGTCTGGCCAGCCCGTGCTGCGACCTGCTCGCCGTCCCCCGCCGCCGTCCCGTCCGAAGCAGCACCGTGACGTTACTCCGCGAGCAGACTGAGGAGCTTTTCCAACCACCAGACCCTCCGGTACCTGATTACCCTATCGACACGGTGGAAATCCAAGGCACAACCCTGCCTGTGGGCAGCCGAGCTCGGAGAAACCGTGTTACGGCTACCCACAATGAATGAAAATGGCCTACCTCAGTCGGTAAAACAAATGGACCGTTCAAATTCAGGTCTCCACTCAATACATCCACTCCAGTAATTCGCAGTATGGAAAGGGGTCCGGGAAGGTTTCACACGGTTTCGCACGACGAATTGGAGACTCAACTTGCAGACTCAGGGCCTCGTTGGACACCAGGGCGCCCTAAACGAGAAAATTGAGATTAATTTACACTAACTCGAACTATGGTTCCATGCACACTTGAAGAAACCCTCGAACAAGCTGCACTTGAAACAGAAACCCACGGCTTGACCAATCTTGGACCAGAATGCCTGCTGGAAAAAAAGAAAAACAAAAAAAAAGCCCCATTGGAAGTGCTCTGCTGTATCTGTTCGCACTTCAACTCAAGGTAGCTCGTGTTCACGTGCGATTTTGCCCCAGATACACTTGAGTTTCAAGGGTGTGCACTTGAAAGCAGGAAAGTGAAATGAAAACATTACGACCATGTCATTAGGGAGGCGTGGAACAAAGAATTTTCCTCCAACCGTTGCGTTCAAGTGGTGTCAAACGGGGCCCTCAACATCCCCAAAAAAATGCCCGCACAACTTTTTGGGGCCATTTCCACTCGTGCCACGGCCCATTTTTCCCCCTCTAACTGCGGCTCGTTTCCCCCCCTCTGATAGCGCTCTCTCCCATGTGGAATGGGCCGGCGGCAAGGGTAGGGAGGGGGGGCAATCCTTCTGTTACACAAGGAACGCCTCCACAAGGTTCGCACCTAGCACACCAAGTGGTCCAGCCAAATATCCGGTTGGACATGGACTGGATACCGTATGTACCATAGGTCCTTCTCATCACATCTCCGTTGGTGCGAGGTACTGCTACACAGTTACCGTGTTTATTTGCACTACGAACGGATACAGCAGTGTCGAGCGCATCAGCTCCCGCCTTTTTTCGCAAAAGAGGAGAGCCCTCCCTGCTATGTCACACATGAGTAAAAAAAAGAAGATGGAAACAACTTGGGGGCAACACATAAGTAATCCCACGAACCGTCCAAACGGGTGTGGTTGTGCTGTCACTTTGTCGCTCTAGACAGGTGCGTCAACCGTACTTCTCACGGTCCCCTACGACAGGATAGGTTCACGTGAAACATTATTTATCTTCCCTAAGGAATTGTCACCACCCTCAGGGGTGTATCCCTTCTGAGCTACTGACCTGCGTGCAAAAACGTTTAAATGCAATTGCAGAGGTTTGCTTGTTTCGCTATAGCATAGATACACGTGGTTGGAACGCCGACTGGACCCAACCGTCATTCGTTCCCTAGGGCGCTGATCTCCTAAGTACAAAGCCCACGTCGGTTTTTTAGGACGGTCTCAACCAAGCGTGAAACCCACAAGGTAATCCTAGTCTCTTTGATACAATCTGAAAGAAGGTTACCACGATAGTTAGCTCGAATTCGTTTTTTGTGGATTTTTATTTGTTTTGTTTTCACTTTATACAATTTAAAGATATATCAATCATAGTCAATAGAAAAGATATTTGTGTTGAGTGATAGTCTTACAACACTAGCACGTTCATATCACCGGCAATCGGATATTGTCGAGAAAAACACATATATTCAAAAAAAAAAAAATGTATAAAATTCATTCATATGAGATTGACTCAGACCGCGTTTAGGAGGATACTATGTCAAAATGAGAGTCGACCATAATCGGGTTATTAACTTTATTAGATAATCTGCCAAAGTTATTCCTTTTCACCCCATCACTACTAAAGGGACATAGTAAGCCTCGCATTTTACGAATGAGGGTCACTCACGTCAGAAACCTCATATTTGATGTAAAGGTAGGTTCGTTGACATAAATAACATTTGCAAGTAAATTTCACTATGGTCATGCAGATCCACAAGAGGTATGACTTTCCACCTACGTTCAACCCTCGAATGATAAAGACACTAAAAGCATCACCAAAGTAGTTTTCATAATGCAAAGAGTGTCGCCACTTGATTTATCTGTACTCGCCTGCCCCCAAAACCCTAGTCTAACATCGTTTATAGCCCGTTTTCATCGAGTATCGGACAGAATATCGCGTCTTCGCCTCCACCATAACCTCTCTCGCGTTACTTGTATGGGTCATCTCATTTCTTCAACTGCACTCGACGCAATTTAACATCCAGGTTCAGTTTTTTTTTGTTTTTTTGTTTTTTTTGCCTCAGCTCTCTGTCTGTGCCCAGCTGTGCGCTAACCCAGATACCACAAAGGATGTTGATCGATACTGACAACACGTCGATGGTCATGGAAGTTGAAATCTAGTAAGAAGTGCATAGCAACTCACCTGCTGAATCAATCAGCCCCGAAGTTGAATGGCGCTAGGGCGCACGACTTATGCTCGACCGTCGTAACTATTATAATGTTGCAACGGATAGGAGGGCGTTGTGCCTTTTGTGAAGCCTGCAGCGTGAGCCTTGGTGAAGCGGGTCCCAGTGCAAATATTGGTGGTAGTAGCAAATATTCAAATGGAAACTTTGAGGACTGAAGTGGAGAAGGGTTCCATGTGCACAGCGGTGCACACAGTATCGCTGCGGACCTCCCCACAGTGTTATTGACCCAATGCGCCTCGACACTATTCACCATTTTTCGAGTTCCAACTAGACAGACTCATGCTCAAACCTCTCACAACAAGAAGTGGGACCGGGGATATTCACACCCAGACCTCTCACAGCAGATCAAACCCTCTTGCTGGTGCATCCGGTCGCGCAGGTCATGAGGACCCTTGTCTCAGATAACTAATACGAGGGCGGAGCCCTGGCTACACCTCTCGAAGTAAATAAAATAAAATTTGTGGTGATGGTAAGTCACTTGCTGTAAAGCTCCCTTTTATCCACTTGCCTCCAGCAGAGTCTGAACTCGGACCTACATTTCAACAGTTCAAAGATATTGACTAAGTTGAGCCAGTCCGTTCCATCGCTGGTCTCAAAACTGGTGATGGGCGCACTGCAGAGGTTGTCTCTCAAGACTACAACCCATGGCTCACTGGATGCAGAGGTTGCCTCTCAAGACTACAACCCAGGGCGCATTACAATCCGGATTTCCAGTAACCTGTACATGGCCCGAACGCACGGGACTGTTCCATAGGTGGGGCATTGCTCCACATTTCGACAAATGTCCCAAAGGAGGGTGTCATGGTAACAACCTCGAGTTATTATCATCCGACTGACCGATCCAAGGCAATTCATAATTGATATCCCACTCATCTGCTCCTACTAAAGTTCAAATACGAGTTTGTATTTCAACAGTTGGTGGGTGTACCAATTGAGCTTGCTCGTCGTTATCACGACTGACACCGATATTTGTATCGGTGCCCGGTTCTAGTACCCATGTCAGGACGGGTGTCAAAAGCAGAAAAATAAAAACAAAAGAAAAAGGAAGTGGGGGTTGAGGAAGAAAGGGGACCGTCGACACCCCCTCAACCTCGCCTTTCAAGCCTGCTACCGAAGTCGGCAACAAAAACTGACGGGATAGCTCCATCAGACCCTCAACCCTTAGTTTTCTTCAGGATGCTGCGCCTTCCATCATCGTCGGATACTGGCCTCGATTCCGAAACCTCCACAGTAATAGTCCGCCGATGTAACCAATATCGTTAGGCCCAAGGTTGAAATTGACTATTGCAAATTCAAAATAAACTGGTGTCACACTGCACACTGGCCTACCAAAATACCCAAAATCCACTCCTTGGCCGACACCACGACCACCGAATGCCGACAAACGTCGATCGAAACACATAGTCGCACTCAGAGGCTAACGTACGCACTCCGTTTTCGCTTGCATTTGTCAAGGCTGCGAGGGATTTCTATTGGCCGACAGACATCACAAAACGCCCAATTACACCGCGCGCTACACGAGATTCAAAATCCCTCTGAATATAGCTTGCGGCACCGTCGGTCAAACCTAACGCCAATCATAGGAGCGTTAACTCCACGGGCGCACACGCGTCACAAACCACCGTGTCGATCAAAAGAAAAATATCATTTAGCCCTAATTAAATAAAAAATCAAAAGTTGACCCGTAGTTGTGTTGATTCTATAATATTAATAAGAAAAGATCATGCGCACCCACAAATTTTGTATTCCCTTCAAACTGTCTCGCACTCTTAGTCACAAAAACAACTTGGCCTCGGGTCACGAAGTGCTCTCAACTTTCAATTCAAAATAATTTTATGTTACTTGCAAAAATCAGGACGGATACCCCTGTAAGGGTATCTACCCGACAACGCGTCTTGAAAGGTTAATTTCATGACACTACACAATCGTGAATAAGATTGTAAGTCCTACCCTCTTCTGCACCCTACCGAGAGGAGCGATAGGCGGGCTTCCACCCTTTGTGGTGGCGAAAAATCGTAGACTAATGGAAAGAGGGTCCATCTTCGGAGGCATTGAAACAGGTCGAGGGGGTTGACTTTGACAACCGCCACGGACCCTAACATCCAACTATAAAAATTTACAGATAAACTGTGTAGCACACCGAACACGTTCGGAGCTTTTCTGAACGTCCAAACGTGTTTGGGTGTTCGGTAGAACGCCAACCGAACGTGTTTGGCCGAACATATTAAAAAAAAAAAAAAAAAAACACTATTTTTTTGTTTTTGATTTTTTACTCGAGTTTAGTTACGAATTTGAGCATACCTCCAAGGCAAAAGTTTTTTGCATTATTATTTTACAAAACATATATTTTTTTTCAGAGTTTTTTAAAAACTTCTTTTTTTCTTTTAATATTTTTATGTTCGCGTTTAGAGAGTTTCGGCGCTCGTTCGCGTTCGGTCCTGAACACGATTCTATACAACAGATAA